GAATCTAAAAGCCCACTAAAAAGAATGTCAGTATTACTTTACCAACATCTTTCCTTGTACAGACCTCACTTGCCATTGGTGGTAGAGTTGCATTTTTAGTGTTATATATATATATATATATATTTTATATATATATATACAACCTAGCACAGATGTGTACCAGAATAAACATTTATTATTTTTATTATTACAGCTTTTTATTTTATATGAGAGCCTTCTATTGTCCCTACTGATATCTGAACCTTTGCCATAACAAAATCTGGACTAATGTGTTACTCCCCTTTTAGCCCCAATCACAAATAATGGTTATTCTACAGATGATCCAATCAAGCTGACAGCATTCCTTGTGTGCTCCAAATAATTGTGGAATGCTCTCTACAATGCTTTAGGTAACAGCAAAAGTACACCTGCATAACTCAAGGTGAATCATGCAATGGTTTGGGTTGGAAGGGACCTTAAGGATCATCCAGTGCCACCCCCTGCCATGGGCAGGGACACTTTTCCCTATCCCACGTTGCTCCAAGCCCCGTCCAACCTGGCCTTGGACACTTCCAGGGATCCAGAGGCAGCCACAGCTTCTCTGGGCAACCTGGGCCAGGGCCTCCCTACCCTCACAGGGAAGAATTCCTTCCCAATATCCCATCTAACCCTGCCCTCTGGCAGTTTGAAGCCATTCCTCCTTGTCCTGTCACTCCAGGCCCTCAGAAATAGTCTCTCTCCATCTTTCCTGTAGCTCCTTCAGGCACTGGAAAGCCACAATTAGGTCACTCCAGAGTCTTCTCCAGCCTTTCTCCAGGCTGAACCACCCCAGGTGCTCCATCCCTCTGAGCATCTTCACAGCCCATGTTGTTACTACCCTTCCCTTTGCAGCTGAGATGGAAGGAGGCAGATACTCCACCACCTTCACACAAATTTGGCAACCACAGCTCCCTTATTTCCTTTGCCACACACCCATTTCATTGGAATCCAGGCACCTCTATTATTTTTGCCACACACCCATTTCATTGGAATCCAGGCACCTCTATTATTTTTCCATGACATTTCCATATATTCATTCAAATCCCACCTGGGGGGGAATCCTTACAAGATGATGTTTATAGCAAGATGTGTAAAAAAAAAACCCAACAGGGTAAAAACTGCAGGAGAATCTTAAAAAGGTGCATTTAAAAACAAGGCTGAAGTTTCATCACTTGGATTATCCCAGCAGTTGATCAAACTCTATTTAGTTGTGCTACAATAATGAAGTCAGAGGGGTGAAAACAAGGGCAAATTTAGGTTTGTGCCTTTATTTATTTAGTCTTTCCTCTGTCTGTGAGAAGAATGGACACCTGATATCCAGCCTTTAACAGGTTATGTTTTGTAAAGAAAGCAACGCTGTTCAATCATTCCAGGTTTTTGTTTTTCTCAATATCTGAGGCAAAATCTATATAAATCCCACTAAACAGCTGCATATTTACAAAACCTCCTCTCCTCTTTGCTGGCAGAGTTGCATCTTCTCCTTAATCACCATCATAGCCAAGACCTACAGATCCCCAACAAGGAAATGATGGATCCCCACCACCTGCAAATCCCTACAACACATTTATCAGCCCACAAACACCACGTCCCCTGGTTTTATTTTGATCACAAGAGGCCATTTCTGAAGTGTCAAACACGACCAAGTTGAAGGAAAGGTCACCACTGGTGCCTTTGAAGCACCAGTGACAGAAAAGCAAAGATTGAGTTTCGTCCCTGCAAGTTTGACTCAAACAAAAGGCCCCCCTTTCCCTCCCTCACTCCGGGGCCTCTTGTTGGTTTTCCCATAATTGTGGGGTCTTGCAGTGAAATGAAATGGCAGATTCATCACTGATACAATCTTTGCCCAAGGTTTACAGTCCTTTAATTTGTGTGCTTTCGGGGCTTGAGGGCATTTTCCAGTAGCTTTGCTTTATCCTGAAGGGATTTGGGTCTCCTTAACAAGGGACTAAATTAATCCTCACATCAGATGAGACCAGAAACGTGGCCTTCAGTTGTTGTCAATTCAGAATTCCAAATGAAATTGCTTCTCTCACAGAGCAAAAGGAACGTGGAGCACAGTAAAAAACACAGGAAAATAAATTACAGTCAATACTTCAATGTCTATAACGTGATTAGAGAAGTGACAAAAGAGTAAATATATATCTTTGTGGCTGTTGATCATAAAATCTTGAATTCATTCTATGTATGGGTGTGTGAGCGTGTCAATTAAAATTAATTGAAGGACAAAACTGTGGCAGGAGTGGGAAACAAGAGCAAACTAAACCCAAAACTTCACTAACAAATCTACAACTCCCAAACAAATCAACATTGCACAGATTTACAGCCATTAGGCTGAGCTACAAACATTCTTAAGAGGTTCCCTCTAACAACAATATACCAAATATCTAATTAATTTCACAGCAAAATGTTGAAAAGCATTTTTTCCTTCATTAAGGAGGTATTTTTCTCCTACCCATAACACTGAATATGGACTTTTTTTCCTTCAAAAGCAGGTAAAAAACCCAACCAACTACAGGTTTTATATTTATACCAAATTAATTGTTACCAGGTTGTAAGACTTTCCAGATCAACTGATGGTCATTTTGCCTCCTTTCTAAAGAATTGGCATAAGATTTTTCACACAAACTTCCAAAAATTTCTTATCTTTTAATGAAATAGTGAAGTTTTTAACTAAATTCTCTCTGCTCTCAAGTTGGCTTATAAACCTTCTAAAGCCTAATAAACAATAATAGTCTATCCTCTGGTCTTTATAACCAATCTAAATAACCCTGACTCCTGAAAATAACTGGGATTATGGCTCTCTAAAGGAAAAAATAAAGGAAAATTCACTGTTTAAGAAACATCTGAACCACTTCCATAATAACAACTTATTGTGCTTTGTGTTGTAACCTTGGGCTATAATAAGATGGACCTGCCAGTTCCTGTATTTCCAGATATTTCCTTGAACCATGTTTTCAGTATTCTTAAAAACGCTTTAAAAAAGTTAATTTCAAGACTTGTTTCAGAAAATCTTCACAACTCACCTTTCTTTTTTCTGGTATTCCTGGTAATTCAATAATCCTGCCAATTTTGGGGGTGGGAGTGGGGGATCAATATATTTTGCTGAATAAAGAATTCTGTGAAGGAAAGTGGACTTTTATCCAGGAGAAAATAACACAGAACCACAGAAAAATGGTGAATTTGAACACGTAAAAGTGAGCTACACTTTATTAATATTTACAAAGGAAAGCTTTATATTTACAATGTGAACAGTTCCATTAACTTAATAAAAATAGATCCTCAACATTTGACTAGCAAAAGTATTTTCTCCCTGAATTTAAAGGGAAATAGAATTAAACTATGGCCAAAAGGAAAACAGAATTAAACCGTGGCCAAAAAAGTTGCTTCTTTCCCTCTCAGAGGGAAATGACAAGAGAACACTTTTAAGTTCCCAAGAATGGCTTGAAAAATTAATGTGGTGTAATTCTTACACAAAGGCAGGTTGTGTAGGTACATGCAAATAATAAAATATGTTAATATAAATTTAGTTAGGGATTAAAAAAAAAATAAAACCTTTGTTCTACAAGCTGAAAGAGTATTTTTTTCTTTTTTGCTTGGAGAGGTTTTGACTGTCCTTATGCAACACTTCCATTCATCCTTTGTTCAAACAAATCTCAAGAATGACTATCTGCTGTTGCAGATTCCTTTTTCAGGAAGGAAGAACATTCTGTTCACTTCACTGATGGGAATGTCCCTCAATGCTGGAATTGCTTCCTCTTGGAATTTCTTCTGCTGCTGCTTTTTTGCATAGTTATCTACAAAAGACAACGAGAACATTTCAGGTCTTCAAGACTCTTTTCTTTCAAGAGATGCTCTATAATGGAACACTGTATAAATTTAGGTACTTTAAGGGATGCTGGAAACCCCACCCTGCTGAGATGGTCATCAAATGTGCTTTACATCAATATTTATCAGCAGAGTCCCTGAAGAAATCACCCCCAAACTCCTGAAATCACTGGCTGGGATTTTGCTTGGTTTAAGGTGCATTTGAACTCCAGCCTTGATTGATTTTTTTTTTCCTTAGGAGTCCAGTGGAATCTAATTCCATGTACACAGTTCAAAGTTCAAACATTGAAAGTTCTTAAGTTCTTAGCAATAAAGAATTTTCTTGCCACATTTTGCTGCCTTTTTTTTCTACCAAAACCAGCCACCTGCAAATAGTGGTGGAATTCCTTGTGCAAAGGAAGACACAGATCCTCCTTTTATAGAATTCCAAAATGGTTTGGGCTGGAAGGGACCTTAAAGATCATCCAGGTCCAACCCCCAACACCTTCCACTAGCCCAGGTTGCTCCAAGCCCCATCCAAGGTGAATCATGGAATGGTTTGGGTTGGAAGGGACCTTAAAGATTATCCAGTCCCACCCCCCTGCCATGGGCAGGGACACTTTTCCCTATCCCAGGTTGCTCCAAGCCTTGTCCAAGCTGGCCTTGGACACTTCCAGGGATCCAGGGGCAGCCACAGCTTCTCTGGGAATTCTATCCCAGCCCCTCACCACCCTCACAGCCAGGAATTCCTTCCCAATATCCCATCTAACTCTGTCAGTTTGAAGCCATTCCCCCTTGTCCTGTCCCTCCATCCCTTGGAAATAGTCTCTCTCCATCTTTCTTGGAGCTCCTTCAGGTCCTGGAAGGCCACAACCAGGTCACCCCAAAGCTTCTCCTCTCCAGGCTGAACAATCCCAGCTCTCCCAGCCTTTCCTCCCAGCAGAGCTGCTCCAGCCCTGGGATCATCTTCCCACTTCTGCCAGTGCCAGGTGGGTGCTCCCACCTTCTCCCCTGGTTTGTACAGTAAGATGAATTCCTGGAAGATCTTTATATGCTCTTTGTGGTCTGTTTTAGTAGCAAATTCCACCCCTCTAGCTGGAAAATGGTGCCATGAGGTGGCAAAGAGGGAAGAGTCAGGCTCGTGGTCATCTTATCACTCCAATACTTCAGTACTTCCAAGAACTAAAACATTTAAAGGCTTAAAATTTGGTTTATATTCTATATGGCCACATATATAGATTTACAGAAACTATCAGCTAAGCATCAAAATCTGAAATAAAACCCCAATAAAATTACCTGTGATGGTGTGTGTGGAGTTAAGGGGAGCTGTGCTCATCATGTTAATCCCAAAAAGCAGTATATAAGCAATTCCTACAGCAACTAGGAGGTACACTGGCAAAGCAACTGCCCAGTATCTGAGGAAAAAGATTTTAAAATTGACATATCATGATAACAAATGCCTAGTGATGCAACAGTTTTCATGTTGTTATTGCATCCAGCACAAACTGAGCCAGGAGGAAAAGAAATAACACCTCTGAATAAGGACCTTGGTCTCTCCCAAGATTATTGACTGCAAAGACACTGGAGCTACTCTGGTATAAACCATCAAATAGATTCCTTACAAAAGGTGTTTATTTTTTAATTGTGGTCTCAAATTTACTATATTTTCATCAGCAAATTTCCTGAGAACAAAACATCACATTTATCATAAAAAAGTCAAATACCATTTATTTCATTGCACAATGCAAAAGTTTTCACCACGCCTATTATCTACATTAAAAAATTGCTTTACAAAGATTACAGGCCTTTATCATGGGGGAAAAATTGATTTAATACAAGGCTGCTACTTAAAACAAAAAAAGCTTTTTAATTTTAAAATAATTAAGGGTGTCCCATAGTTACAAGTATTCAGGTTAAGAACTTACTTTTGAGGCCAGTATGTCAGTCCCAAGGAGAACAGCCAAGTGTCAGGAATATATGCCCAGATAAGATATAAAACTGCACAAGGGAATTAAAAAGCCATAATAGTTAAGACTGATGCTGTTTTAGACTTCCTAAGTTTCACTTTTACACCATTTTAAACCAAAAGGGCCCTACTAAAACACTGTATAACAAAATACAGACACCAAACCCGCCCAGTAAAAGGGCAACGTTTTGCAGCTGGTTATATGGGATCATTTTTATATTTGTTTCACATTTAATTTCTGATTTCTTATGGAGACAGACAAGAATTTATTCTGAGCTAAACTGCAGAACAAAAAAAACCAACGCAACAAACCCAAAACCTCAGTAAAAGGAGGCCAAAAGAATCTAAATGCAGATTAAAAAAAGGCAGAAAATGATCACACAGTGGGTCATTTGGTTGGAAAAAAAAAGCTGGTGGAATTGCAGGGCCTGGATGGAACTGTTGTGAAAAAGTCACTGAAGGTACTTTCTGATTCTTGGCAAGTTCATCATTTTCATGTCAGCAAAACCAATACCCAGAAATGTTGCTCCATAACAACAAAAAAAACTCGAGGGGAGCAGGACAGGAGGCAAAAAAAAATAACCCACAGGGGCTTCCTGTGAGAGGAACAGAAACCAACTCACTTCCATTTCTAGTTATTGCCTCGAAGTCAGAAAGACTTGGAGCAGTGTTTCATTATTTAATGTTTCATTATTTGCCTCCAGGGCAATTTGCAGCACCTCTTCTTGTGCTGAAAAGGTTTTCTCAGCCTCACAAGCCCTGGGCCTGTGTTGGCACCTCATATCCCCAGTGAAATGCTAAAGAACCTGTCACACCAGCAGAGAAATGCTGGCATAACCCAAATTAATTCCCATTGCTGTTGGCCAAATGGACTTTTTTCCAGTATTTATATATTTATTTATTTTATTTTCAGTGGGGAAGGTAACACTACTAATATTTACAGTGGTTACTATAGAATGAAAATGTATTCAAGTAAAAAAGTTACTGAGAATGCAGAGAATTTTTCAAATAATTTGACTCTCTGATACCATTAAAAATCCTGTAATATGGTTAAAGACAGGTCAAACGTGAGGAAATCATGAAAAGCAATGACAGATCTTTGTAACACCTGACAGGTCTGGCAATCAGCACTCACAAACACGAGTTTGATCCTTTTCAGGTGGTCTTACAGAATCACGGAGTGGTTTGGGTTGGAAGGGACCTTAAGGATCATCCAGTTCCACCCCCTGCCATGGGCAGGGACACCTTCCACTAGCCCAGGTTGCTCCAAGCCCCGTCCAACCTGGTCTTGGGCACTTCCAGGGATTCAGGGGCAGCCACAGCTTCTCTGGGCAACCTGTGCCAGTCGGGAATAACGCCTGCCTCCTAAGCAAAGCAGGATTTTCGGGCATATCAGTTCCCGGGATACTCACTGAAGGCAAACCACGATCCTAGAAAAAGGGCAAATCCATATATCGCCCTTTCTGGCAGCGGGGCCGGCGAGTTTTCAACCATCCTGGTGTCTTACCTTCGTGGGGAGGGCGGAGAGCAGGGTAAGAAAGCTGTTTAAGAGGTTTCCTGGGAAGTTTCCCTGGGAACGCGGGGGCGCGCCCAGGTACCCACAGCCCCGGGTCGGGGGGATACTCCTTCCTGAGGCCCGGGTGAAGGGGATAGTCCCTCCTGAACCCCGGAATAAGGGGATACTCCCTCCTGAGCCCCGGGTGAAGGGGATACTCCCTCCTGAACCCCGGATTAAGGGGATGCTCCCTCCTGAACCCCGGATTAAGGGGATGCTCCCTCGTGAGCCCCGGGTGAAGGGGATGCTCCCTCCCTCTTTCCCTTCTCCCTTCCTTCCTTCCTTTCTTCCTTCCTTCCTTCCCTCCCTCCGTCCTTCCTTCCTTCGCACGCACCGCCCGCCCGCAGCTCCCCCGCGCCCGGCTGTGCCTCCTTCCTCTCCGGAGCGTGTCTAGGGAGGGAAAACGGCACCCAGGAGACGGCAGGACGAGAGAGGAGGAAGAGGATGAAGGATAAAGGATGAAAATGATGGATCTTCTCCCACCCCATTCCTTTTTCCACCCCCACCTCGCGCGGCTCCACGCGCGCATGCGCGGGCGCACGGCCCGCGGGTTGGCCGGCGCCCGTGACGTCATCGGGGGCGGCGGGCCAATGGGCGGTGCGTCCGGCGGGGCGCGCGCGCGCGCGCGCGCGGGGGGGGGCGGTGCCGGGAGCGGCGTCGGGACAGCGCGGGGCTGGAGCGGAGCGGGCGGTGAGCGCGGGATGCGGGGATGGAGAGGGGGATACAGGGGATGGAGAGGGGGATACGGGGGATGGAGGGAGCGATACGGGGATGGAGGGAGCGGTGGGCGCTCCCCCCCGCCCCGCCCGGCACTCGCTGCCCGCTGCCCGTCGCGGTGCCGCCCGCCCCCGGCCCGCCCGAGGTTCGCAGCGCGGCACCGGGAGCCGCCGCGGAGCCTCTCCCACGGTCGCTGCCTCTTCTCTTGGAGCTCCGGGCAGGGCTGTGCCGGCGGGAGGAGACACGTCAGCGGCGAGCGGAGGGCTTTCCGGGGTCTGATGACGGCCGGGGCGGGGCGGGGGCTGTCCCGGCGTGTTTGGCATCCCGGGATGCAGCGGCTATTCCGGGGATGCTGCTCCCTGCGCCCTGCCAGGGGTGCGGCAGTGCCCTGGGGTCCTGCTGGAGGCGTAGAACACAGAGATACCTGACATAACCAGCTCTTAGCTGGTGCTTTAGGTGACTGTTTTCAACATTAACCTGTGCTGTATAACATATGTAAGTGTCTCTTCCGCGAAACCTCGGCAAATTGTTGTGATCGTTTTAAGTGCTGCAAAGCACGTGTTATTTTCCTCTTGCCTTCCTCACTGTGTTTCTCACCATCCTTCTCTTCCAGGGTCCTGTGCCATGGCTGATCCCTCGTCCGTATCCGACCTTGCAACCCTGGCTCTGTGTCACGTCGATAGATCTTACTTAGAACTGGTGAGTAGCTTTGACACTGCATGGAGAACCTGCAGGATGTTCCAGTGGAGTTTATACCCAAATCTGGCACTGGCACAGGTTGCCCAGAGAAGCTGTGGCTGCCCCTGAATCCCTGGAAGTGCCCAAGGCCAGGTTGGATGGGGCTTGGAGCAACCTGGTCTAGTGGAAGGTGTCCCTGCCCACGGCAGGGGGTGGGACTGGATGATCTTTAAGGTCCCTTCCAACCCAAATCGTTCTGTGATTCCAAGATCTGATCTACAGAGTAGTTCCTAGTGTTGATTAATTGAAACTGATGCAAAAGTAACTTTTACCATGGACATTATTCGCTTGTAGAAGCACTGAATTGGGGCAGAACAGAGTGTGTGTCCTCTGTCAGGCAGGTTTGGGTGACTCTGTGTGTGCACAGCTGTCACAGCAGGCAGTGATGTGTAGATCCTCTCAGCAGAACTTGCCCAACCTGTTGGCTCTGCTCCCAGACCATCCCTGGGATGATGCCTGACAGATTCAGTTCCTTTCATGGCAAAACAATCACCCCTTGGTTCGTGGGATTTTAACTCTGCACTGGCTGCAGTGTTGGCCCCTTCTTTGTTCTTGTCATCTTTTCCAATTGCATCTATTTCTTCATGCCCAGTAAGGCTTGTACTTATTTAATCACAGAATCACAGAATGGTTTGAGTTGGAAGGGAAATTAAAGATCAACCAGTGCCACCCCCTGCCATGGGCAGGGACACCTTCCACCAGCCCAGATTGCTCCAAGCCCTGTCCAACCTGGCCTAGGACACTTCCAGGGATCCAGGGGCAGCCACAGCTTCTCTGGGAATTCTATCCCAGGGCCTCCCCACCCTCCACAGCCAAGAATTCCTTCCCAGTATCCCATCTAACCCTTCTCTCTGGCAGTTTGAAGCCATTCCCCCTTGTCCTGTCACTACAATTCCTGATGAAGACTCCCTCTAAGTTATAAGTTGTACCTTTTCTGAATAAACTCCTCTCCTTTAATACTTCCAAGAGTGCTTTCCTTGACTGTTATTTTCCCCTTCCCGTGCTCTGCTTCAGGAGAGTTTGAAACCCCTGGGAATATTTGTGCTGCTTGGAGAGCTCAGTCAGGAGTTACCTTATCAGTTGTGTTGCTGTTGTGAAATAACAGGTTAACTGGCCTAATGCTCTTCCCATGCAGAAGTAAAAAGTGTAGATAAATTGAATTTGTTATTTCTAAAGCTGTGTCTTTACAAGGAGCTGGTCCCACCAGGGTAGTGATTCCCACTGGAATGTGTTTATATCAATAAAGGATGTTTTGGGCGTGTGCTGCTGCCAAAAATCAAGTGCTTTGAGAGTCGTGCCAGCAGAAGATAAGAGACATTTTATCTCTTAAATATCTTGTGTGTGCTGAGCCGTGGAATCAAAGCCCTTGGTTCCCTGCAAGTGCTAAATGTTGGTTTTCAAGTTTGCCTTGGTGGGAACAGCCCCAGGAGCTCCATGGACAGAGGGGAAGTGGTTTGGTTTGGTTTTGAAATGTCACAGCGTTTCCTCTGTGCAGGGCTGTGGAGCTGCAACCAGAGTTCATCTTTTTTTTTCCTCTTTCTTACTGAGTGTCCTGACCTGTCAAATATGTTGGTTTTATAATTCAGAAGCGTTTTTTTAAATGATGCATAAAAGTTTCTTAAAATAACAGGCTTTGTAGGGATCTGTAAAACAGAACAAAGTCATTTATTCTTCAGCGTTCACATGTTTAAACCCATTAAAGTACTAATAGATTCTGCTGCCCTGAAGCATTAAATCAACTATTCCACTTATTTTGACGTATATGAATTTATATAAATATACACACACTGTCAAAACTTAATTATTACTTTTTGAAAACCTGTGTTGTCTTCTTAAACACGTGTAGTCAGGTGTTCTTGAACATTATTTTGCTGCCTTGTACCTGGTTTTGACTTACTAATTTCCAGAACACTGTTCTAGTGTGATTTAAAATACTGTTTAAATTAATAAAGGTTTTCCTGCCCATTCATAACCATTAATCTGTGGACATTTTTTAATGGATGTGCAGGTAAACATTTTTTTTCCTATGGAACAGCCTCTACACCTTTGTGTTAAATAACTCCAGCAAACATGCTTTTTGTTCCCTGTTTGCTTTGGTTTGTTTTATTTGCTTTTTGGCTGTGTAATGTTAAAAAGTATGTTTGTCTTTAGGGTCATGGAACATTTGGTCAGACAGTGCTGCCTAATCCTAAAACAGGTATGTGAACTAAACCAATTTGCTTAAATTTTTAATGCACTTTTGTGCTGGTTTTGATTCCTTTTTGATTTTTTTCCTTATTTTGCCTGAATAAATAGAATTCATTACCCATGTTTTAACTGTAGCTGTGTTTTAGCTGTAGAGGTCCAAAGACAATTTCAAGTTGATTTTTTTTTATAGGTGAGTTTTTGCAGTTATAACAGTTAAAAAATTTCAGGGGTGGCAGAAAAGCAGGTGGCTCCAAGAGTGTGTGAAGTTCTTCAAAACTGTTTTCACTACACAAATGGTAACCTGGAATATGCAGGAGACTCACAAGGACAAAGCCAGCTGTGTAAAATGAATTTTTCCATATATTCAGACCCCCACACGATGCTGCTTCTGCTCTGAGATGCCACCTCAATAATCTGATTTACCTTTTAATTTACCTCAGAGCACTGGGTGCCACCCCAATAGTCTAATTTACCTTTTAATTTCCAGGCAGACCCTGAGGGAGATGGGTTCTATTTTTGAAAGGCCTCTGAGGCCAAAGAGAATGTTGCTGATTTTTGTAGCTCTGGGCTCCATTTCTCTGGATTTATTGTAGAAAACAATTTCAGGGGTGCAGGTGGAAGTGGCTCGTGTTTTATCTGGAAAAAACTAAACTCACAGCATCACTTATTTAGAAGCATTTATTCATTTATAACTAATTATATCAGTACAATCTGGAACCCAGGCAATCCCTTGAGCAAGGAATGTAAAGCCTGCCATGAGATCCCTATTCCTACCTCCGTATAAATTCCCTCTCCCCCTTTAATTTGTAATAAAACTTAAGTTTCCAGGTGGGTTTGGAGCATTCAGGTCTCCTTGTTCAGGTTGGTTTGGACTTAGGAATAAAAAGTCTGCGAATAATTGATGGGGGTGTTTATTACAATTTGGAATTTTGAATTATATCTTAACCCCTGCAATGCCTGGACTGTGTGATCCAATTCCCACCTGTTTTCCTGGAGGTGTTGATCCCTGTGAAGTTTGGTGCAATCAGCCTGTGGAGAGATTGAGAGAACATTGCAACGTGATTAAAATCCAGATGCTTTGGCCTCTGCTCTTCACCCCAGAAAGCATTTCTTTCCAAGAGGAATTTGGGTGAGTAACCACATTTTCCAAGGGATTTTTCTCTGCTTTTCCTTGTTCCCTGTGAAAGATCATTGTGTGTTTTCAGTGGTGCTTAAACTGGCTGCAGAAATGTTGTTGTTAACAGTGGCTTTAACTTAGTCAAGGCCAAAAGTTCCTCAAACCACAGAAGGAAATATTAAGGAGGGGTGTGTGAAGTTTGGAATCTAAAAGGTGTGTTTAAGTGCTTAAATAGATGCCTGAGATTTCAAAAGCACCAAGAGCTTTTATTTGTTTGTTTATTTATTTGTTCATTATTTATTTATCCCTCCTCCTCTATTTTAAAAATCTGAGTTTGTAAACATGGTCTTGCTTAGATCTAATTTTTAATTATTATAATTGTTATAATATATTATCATACCGTAATTATGAATATAATATTTATATATAAAATAACTTAATATATTATTTTATTTTATTTATAGATTATTTTATCTAGATTTTATTTTATTTATAGATTATTTTATCTATATTTTATTTTATTCATATATAAATATATATATTATATATGTATATGATATTATTTATATATAAAATAACTGTATATTGCATTCATATAATATTTATGTATAAAATTACTGCATATTATATTAATATAATATTTATATTAAAACAATTTAATATTATATTAATATTATATTTATATTATATGTTCTATAATATAATAATAATAATTGTTAGTATGCTAAGAAGATGTTAATTAAATGTTAGCAATTAGGACCATGTACCACAGTGTTACTTCTCTCCATAATAACTTGTGTTTTTAAACAGTTTGCTCTTTCAGGGGTGGCGTCTGTGGAAGACAATGTCTGAGTGTAATTTTGTGGAAGACCTTGCTGATTTAATTAAAAAAGTTGTTGTAAGTACTGTATTTTAACTTGGTGTAAGTTCTCAAGTAGAACAGGTTAATTAAATCTGTACCTTAAGCAGCTTGGGATTATATCTGAAATGAGACATTTCCTTTTGCTGGAGTGAATAAATTGTGTGATGGCTGAGTTGCAGCTTTCTAGAAAGAAAAAGCATCCCAGGCTTTATCACAGTTGGGATAACTTAGTAAATAATTGCAGTCAATAATGTGATTGATGGACAAATGACTTAAATACTTTATTTTTCCCCCTCACTTATTTTTCCCTCGCTCAACAAATGGCATTTTGAATTTGCTGTTATTGCTGACTTAAAACACAAATATAACAGTGCAGAGAAGGATGTAAGAAATGCTCTCAGCAGCTGAAGTGGGGACATTTGTTGTGGTTTTTACATTCAGTTATGACACAGTTCTTTTTTTCATTTCTTGAAAGTCTGTGCTCCGCTTTTCCAGTCCACGTTACTGCTCCTCTGCTTCCCTCTTCTTCCTTCCTCAGCCTTTACCTCCTTCTCCATGTAAAACATTGTATATCCAACAGTCAAATTCATTTATTTTTCCACAAAAAATTTGCTCCTGATTACAGGAATATTGCCTGAATTTTGGCAATGGAGCACAGCAGCTCTCCCAGTGATGCTTCATTGAGGCAGAACAGAAAATGTTACTCAGCTAAACCTGAGCAGACAGAAACTGAAATGCTCAGCTCTTTAATAACTTGATTTTTATTTGCTTTCTCTCTTCCTGTTCCAGAACATTCCGCACTTTATCAGTGGCATATTGAGGATTGGCAATGGGATAGAAAATGTAAGTTTTTCCAGTTGTTTTTAAGATTCCCAAGCAGTGACACCCGTTCAGTCTGTGCGTGGCAGAGGAGGAGTGTGGTTGGCAAACCTGCTGATCCACCTTTATCCCCAAATTCAATCCACAGCAGAACTATACTTCCACATTTTTCACCTTGTAAACTTGGTGAATGTTCTCTTAATTTCCCTGTTTTCACCAGTTTTTTTCCCACTTGCTGGTGTCTGTTGCCTGCTGTGCATGAGCTGCCAAAGCTGAAATAAAAACGTAATATAAAAATAAAAAAATAAAAGCATAAACATAACAGTGATATAAATAAACATAAATATGAAAAATAAAAATATAAATATAAAAAGTATATAAATAAAAGACAAAAGACAATCTCACAACAGGAGAAACAGAATAAATAGAACTATGTGTTACCCAGTTGCTGTATTTTGGGTGATATTTGTCTTTTAAGTCATCTGGGTTTTGATCTTATTTTTTGGTAGTCGTCAGAAAAAAGTTTCTAAATCAAATCCTAGGGCTTTTATATTATTTTTCAAGAATTTCAGTCATCAAAAAGAAGTTTCTCAATCAAAAGCCAACATTTGAATGCCTTCCCTGACTCCTGTGGCAAGAGTGACTGGTTGAGTTTTGTGACTCCGCTGTGCTTGAGGTATCCAGATATTTGTGAGCTGTTTTCTGCTTCTTTATTTTCCTTCTTTTTTTTTCTTTTTTTCTCCATTGAAATAGGGTTTCTTTCACCTTGAGGAGGCAGTGGATTGGATCAGGTGTGTGGGTGATGCCAACGTTCTGCAGGGCCTGGAGGAACTCAGGGATTTTCGCCGGCTTAAACTTGCAACTGTTTTTACTCAGTGTAAGTCTGAAAACTCCCCAAGAAACAGTGATGAGGAAAGTCATTTAATATTAGTAACTGTGCAGTAGTTCATGTTCTTATATATTTCATTTTGGGCTTATTGAATAATCAATATATTACAGGGATTCTCAGTGGCAGATGATAAACCCTTCATGTCTTCGGTAGCTTTTTCACCCACTGCATTTCTCTGAATTTTGTCACCAGGGGAACGTTCCATCATTAAAGTTGCATTGGAAGATTGTGATTTAGTTGAAGAATTGAAAGCTCAGACCTGTGAGAGCTCCAGGAAGGTGAGAGAAGCTTTCAGGATGGGTTTTGTGCTTTTTTTTAATTGGTTTTGGGAGGGGCTTCTAATGATCAAGGCTTATAAAAATGCCCAAATGATTAAAGATAAAAGCTTCAGAAGCTTGAGTGTGTCATTGTCCTGATGTAAATAATTACCTTTACTTCTCATTGTTGAATTAAATGAGTTTAGTCACAGTTTCTGAATTTATTTCTTCGTGGTTTCACAGGACAGTGAATTTATGAAACAGAGAGGAAATGAAGAATTTTCCCATGGAGCCTTTGTTTCTGCTATAATCTCATACACTAAAGCCATAGAGCTTTGGTAAGAACTGAACTGGTGAACTAGGTTGTGTTTTATATGTATGTAATATAATTTTTTATATGTATTCAGCTTTTTCAGATTTATCCTCATTTTTCATAGTTTTACACGAACCACTCTACTTAGAGGCCAAATTGGAAAAAAAAAAAGCCACATGACACATTTCTTGTTCTATTTTGTTTCCCATTATTATTGTTTGGTTGTGCTTTTGTTGCTCCAGGAGTCCTGTTAGGGTTTAAAGCTGATCTAAAATGACTTAACAGCAAGTAAACCTGCAAGGAAATAAGTTATTTGGTGTCAACAACCACTTTGGGTGTTGTCCCTCTAAATATTCTTCCAGCAGAACAATGTGACCAAGTGTTGCAAATATTTATCACCTCAGTGATGCAGAAAGAATAAACAAGAACGAATATTTAAGTGTCCTCTCCTGGCAGCTCTTAGGCTTATTTTTTTTAACTCTTGTTTAATTTCTTCTCAAAAGGGATTTGCTGGAAGGCTTTGGAGACTTTCCTGAGCTCTGGAAAAAGGGAGGAAGAGATCAGATGAGAATTTTTTAATCTGAGCAGGGTTGGTGTATTCACTGCTTGTGTTACAGTCATGCCAATGCTGCTCTGACACCTTCTGGTGTCTGTGAAATACTGGGAAATATAAAATCCCACCAGGTTGTTCAAACTGTTTGGAGTTTTCAGGTTGAAGTCTGGAGCTTTGTAATTGTGCAGTTGAAAGGATCAGCATTTTGCTGATGTCTTGCTTCAGGTTTTGTGTCTTTTAAGGAGATTTCTCTGCCTGAGGTTTCCCCCAGCAGAGTCTCAGACATCTGATTTCAGGGAATAATAATTTATCAGTTGAGTGGTGGTACAGCAACAGGAACAGCTCGAGCTTGGGGCCTCCAGGAGGGGCTCAGACCAAAGAAATCCTTTGCAGTTTGGGGTCTTTTTTGGTCTGGAGTCTTCTAACACCTTCTTGGATTCTTTCTCTGTGTTGACTTCTGGCTCAGACCAGCCTTGGGGCTTTTTTGTGTAAGTCAAGACTTATCTTTACCCCCTGTTTTACCCATACCAAGGTCTCACTCCCTCTCTGTTGCCTGTTCTTGAACCCTCTTATCCCATGGGATAAGTGGATCCAGCCTTTCTGTGTCCAACCCTGTTCAGCCTTTCGTGCTAACAAAGAATTAATTTAATTAATTTAAAGTTCACCTACACTCAGGTTTGAGCAGGGCCCACCTAAACCCACTTGTCTGCAGTTAAACCTGACCCAACACGGTCACACAATTTCTAATATTCTCTGAGTAAATGTCCCGTGGCAGGAATACATTTTGGTCCCAAATTCCAGCTGATTTCAGCCCTTTTTCCAGAGTTGAGTGAGGCTGACTTGTGTCAAGTGACTCAGGGGGAGCAAACCAAGAAGGCTTTGCTGGAGAAAGGGGGAGGGAGGAGCAGAATTCAAGTGTGAGAGCAAAGGAAACCCTGTGGTTTGTAAAGAGCAAAGGAAGTCACATCATTTCCAGGAACTGTAGAGCTGAGCTGGTTTTTTTTTAAGAATAAGCTGAGAACGATTTGAATTGCTTGGAAGTCGCATCAATGGGCCCAAATGTTACCAATTATTGCATAATTAAAATGAACATCCTCAGTGATTTAACTTGTAAATCCATGGGATTTGAGGAAGCTGGAGTGTGTTGGTGCTAGAGAAGCCTGCAGGCAATTGTTGGGAAAATCCACTCTTTTTTTTCCTCCTTAGGATTTTCAGAAGTAATATATGGTACTAACTCTTCATAATATATATTTTTTTTAAGCCGTACAAACCACCTTCTGTATGGAAACAGAGCTCTTTGTTTCATTCTCACAGGAGACTACGAGTAAGTAACCCCTTTGTCATCTGAAATGTGGTGATCTTCACTTAAAAATAGGCACCATGAACAAGAAAAAGAGTATTTTTAAAGCTGACATATAGAGTTATTTGTGACTCTATGGCTAAAGTTATATGTTATTATAGTTATATGTGACTGTAGTTATTTGTGACTAGAGCTGCCCCATCCCTGGAAGTGTCCAAGGCCAGGTTGGAGCAGCCTGGGATGGTGGAAGGTGCCCCTGCCCATGACAAGAGGTTGGAACTGGATGATCTTTAAGGTCCCTTCCAACCCCACCCATTCCCTGAATTGCTCTTTTATTCCCTTGGTGTTTTTATAGTGCCTTGGACACCCAGCCTGTAGATTTTTCTGAATTACAAATAACAAATTCCTCTTCTTTTTTTCCCCTCCCTTCTCCAAGGAGAGCTGTTGTTGATGGGAAAAGAGCCACTGTTTTGAAGCCTGATTGGCCAAAGGTTAGTTCCATATTTCAAACAATGAAACCTCGTTTCAAAATTGTCTTTTGTTGGTGTTGTAAAGCAAGACGAGAACCCAGAGGTGTCTTCTAATGACAGAAGAATGCAAAGGACTAAGAATTCTTCCTCAATCAGCCAAGTACACAGTTTGTATATTTATATTAGAAGCATATCAAATTAACATTTTTAAATGTTGTTACAAGGTGTTCTGCCTCTTTAAAGGCAGAAGAAAACGTTTATTTTGTCGTGCATAGCTGTGTTATCACCTATTTAAAAGGAATATATGTAGTCCTTGCAATAAAAAAAATCCTGATTAATGTATTTCCCAATATCCTTGGCCTGAAGAAGAGTAAATAAGGGACAAAAAGTAGCTGTTGAGATCAGGGGAAAAACCAAATTTGCTTCTTCCCAAAGCCAGAGTTTACAAGCTGCTCCCAGCTGAAAACTAAATATTCATGGTTTGAGAGCAGTTAGACACGATTTCACTTTGTTTTGTCTACTGCAGCCGGTTGGGGAGTAATTTCTTTTATTTTTTTTTGCCTTATTTGTGTGAATAAAAGCTTAAAATCCCAACTCCTGTCCTTGTAGGGTCACCACCACTATTGCAAGGCCCTGTCCCTGCTGGGGAGGCCCGAGCAGGCTCTGGCAGCAAACGAGAGGGCTCAGGAGCTCTGCAGGAATGTCCCTGACGGGCTCAAGGAACTCGTTCAACAGCATCACAAGCTGAAAAGGACCTTAGAAGAAATTAATGGTAATTTTTTTTCAGATTTCGAGATGTGCCTCGAGCACAGCAAAATTCCTTTGGGGATGATTTTTCCTTTTAAATTATTTATTTATTTATTTATTTATAATTTTTTATTATTTTTTTTAAATTTTCCACAGGTACTAAACAACGTAAACAGAAGGCAAAGAAGTCTCTGCTTGAGAAAAAGTGAGCAGTTGTCATGTTTTACCTTTTCACATAATTAATTAATAATTTCAATAATTTTAAGTGATTAATAATTGATAATATTAATAAGTAATAATATTAATAATTTTTAATGATTAATAATATTGCTCAATGTAATATCGATACAATTAAAAATAAAACAATATTAATAATATACTAAAATACTATACTATAATACTATACTAAAATATAAAATATATTTTATATACTTAATAAAATATATTTTATATATAATAAATATTATTGTGCTATACTATAATAAAATATACTATAATATAATGATACTATACTAGAATAAAATATAAAATAATAAGTAATAAAAGTAATAATGCCCAATGCTTGATATCATTTAAATAATGCATAACAAAATGTGGGCAATATCTATGATATCTCCCAATAAATAAAACTAGAAGGATTAAATTTATCACGACTGCAACAGATCTAATAAACCTTATAGAGGGCTCCTAGGAACTAAATAAATTTACTTTAATTTAAACTATCTTGAATATCCTGGCCTGCACCCAAAGCAGCAGGTAGTTATTAATCCGCATTATTAATTATTTAGGTTTTAAAAAAATATAAATGTAATTCAATTCCCGTCCCTTTTGTAGAAAATAGTGCTTTTTTTTGTTGTTGTTGCTGCTATATTTTTGCACAGCAATTTGGAGGTGTAAAAAGCTGACTGATCAAATCTTTTAAATATGCTTATGGAGTTACACTTCTCTGAAGGGCAGACTCATATTAATCCCTTTTTTATATGTTACATGTATGATATGTGCCTTAAATATGGAGAAAAGCAATAAGAGTTCTCTCTTTTTATGTATCAGAGACTGCAGCTCTTCAAAATCTCATGGAATAACCTCTCAGGAACAAAAAGAAATAGAAAAAATCAGAAAGAGAACTCAGGCTGACCCTAAAGGTCCTCAAAAACATGATCCCAAGGTGAGTTATGCTGGAATTACAGGATTAACAATACCTTGATATTTTTTTCACCAGCCTGATGTTATTCAATGCTGTGGCTGGAATTTTGCAGGCACTGAGTTTTTTTAACAATTATGCACTTTCCCTGTGATATTTGACTGCCAAGTCTGTGCTCAAAACTTGGGGTTTCAAGGAGGTGGGAGGTGGTTGCTGAAGATGTCCTGTCTTTTACACTAATTATTAATTTAAAGAGACATTTGTGCTCCTTCTGATTGCCTTTGCTGTTGTTCTTTTAAGATAATAAATTGTCATAATTGAGCCTACGAAGCGGGTCATTAAAAATAAGCCACCTAATGTAGAAAATGGTGATAAATAATGTGATTTAATAGCAAGGCCCAAACAATTTAACACACACACACGTGAAAAAACTCTGGTTTTTTTTTCCAGGAGAGGTGGGCAGGGACTGATGACGTTTCAGTGGGGAAAACGAAACCAAAGTGGGAGGGCAAAGGGCAGGAAATGAAAACTGGAGCCTGCTGGCAGAGAAAACAAGCTGCAGACAGCACCAGAAGGGCTTAAAGTGCTTTAGGATTTTTATTTTTTTTAATTGTCTCACAAGAACTTTCATCTGCTTTCGTGCCATGAAAATCTTTGTCATGTAGGTCTGTAAACTTCCTTCAGGATGAGCATTTCTGTGAGAAAGGCTGGTGTTTGTCAGGCTAGCAGATAATATAAATTGATACCAATTTGGGGAGGGGAAATCTAAACTGTACAGCTGCACTTTGATTAATGAAATAATTATTTTTTTACCTCTTGGTTGGGGACATAATATAGCACGTTATCATTGGGATTTCTCTGTTTAAATGCTGGTTGTTGAGGTTTTTTCCCTTTGTTTAAATTCATTGAGTGAGATTGATTTAGGTTTTGTTCTCTGATGTATTTGCCATTAGGTGACTGACACCCAGAGACCAGAAAGCAAAGTTTCCACGCTGGAGTTGCCACAAAGTGAGTTTATTTTTATTATTTATCAAGTCTGTGTCGTTTCTTCCTCTGCTGTTGCCATAACTAATAATCCAAAGAGCATCTGATGTTATTTTCACAACAGGAAGAGATCATGTTTCACATCTTTTCCTGTTACTCAGATGATGCTTCTCTTCTTTATTCCTGTCCTAATTCCCTCGTGCTTTTGTGGTTTGAATCTCCTTGATGTGGCTGAATTCAAAATCGAAACTGGAACTAAAAAGTGAAAACTGAGTCACAGGCTAGGAATGCTTTCCCTCCTCCTGAGACAGGTTTGGGATCTAAAGGGATCTGAATTTAAGAGGAGTGTGTGGGTAGTTTCAATATTTACAATTCATTTGTGGTGGCTAAAGCTCAGAAAACAAGTTTGCAGTTGGAGAGGAAAAATATTTGTCAGAGTGGATTTTTAGCTGCAGAGTTAAAGTTGGTGTGATTTATTGTTTATGTTTGGTTTTTTTCAATGAATAAATCAATTTATGGAGAGAATCCCGACCCCCCAAAACTCCCACAGTGCCAGAGTTTCACTTTTCTGGAGCGAAAGTGAAGTGCAAGAAGTTCTGAGCTTCAAAGTGAAATCTTTTCCTAAATTTTCCTTGGGGTTTTTATCACCTGCTCTGAAGTCTCTGGTGCCTGGCTCTGCTGTTCTTTGGGCTTAAATTCTCACTTGAAGAGGTGCCAAAATGCAGAGCACTCGAAAATTTGATTTTTAGGAAACCATTGAAGATTCATTACAAAATGTAATATTTAAAATGAGCAGTAGGAGAAGTGATCTTGCTTTTGTGGGCTTTGGCTGCCCCTGGATCCCCTGGAAGTGTCCAAGGCCAGGTTGGACGGGGCTTGGAGCATCCTGGGCTAGTGGAAGGTGTCCCTGCCCGTGGCAGGGGGTGGCACTGGGTGATATTAAATGTTCCTTCCAAACCAAACCAAACCACTCTGTGATTCTGTGGCTCTATGAAGAAACCATGAAGTGCTGAAGGAACTTGATGCAAAAAGCATAAATTGGGGAAGGTTCTTAGGAAAGGGGAAGTCAAGCTCTGGAAGACAAACCTGTTTTGGGGAACTACGCCCGGATGGTGCCAAGGAGCAAAACACGAGATGGCACAGGGGGAATTTTGGGGGGAGTTTGAAGGAAGTGACAAGTGAATTCCAGGCATTTTGCTGAGCAAGAAGGTGTGGTCTGAACGCTGATGGAACCTGAGAACATGTTATAAAACAGAGGTTTGTTGAAGCAGTGGAAAAGATGAACAGCAACGTGCCTGTGCCAGGACCCACCCAGTCAGTGATAACCACGGGATTATAAGGGATTCCCTGGTTCCAGTGGACTCCAGGGACATTTGGAGTTCTGCTCACCTGGCAGCAAGACCAAATCATGCCAATGCCTTTGGAATGTGGTAAGAGAGAGAGATCTGTGCATCCCTTTGGCTCTGCCAGCAATATGGAGGTTTGGGAGAACCCCCCCCTTGCTTTTCTAAATTCCTTCTCCAGGAGGAGTCTGGGGGCAGTTGGATCCAGTCTTAGGTACAGACCTGGACAACAGTTTATGTCTGAGGGTTTATAGAGGTCTAATTGATCCTTTATACAACTTTGTCCCTCAGGATTAAGGATGGCAAACCAGATATATTTGTACAGGTAATATAAATCCTGTATTTCAGTTGATGGTGATGATGATTAGACCAAAGGACTTGAATCAGAGTTATCTGCTACACACTATAAATGGTTGTAACTGCTATTTTTTATGAAATCAATAAAAGCTATCTAATAATTACTATTTTTCAGCCTGGAGAAGAGAAGGCTCCAGGGAGACCTTAAAGCTCCCTTCCAGTGCCTAAAAGGGGCTTAAGAGAAAGCTGGAGAGGGACTTTCCATAAGGGCAGGGGTTACAAAGGGGAGGGGGGTAACCCAGGTTCTTATCAATAATTCCCTTGGGGTGGATTAGAGTGAAACAACACTATGTCTGAAAACATATATAGGTAGGGTTTATTTTAACAATTTTGTTTTAATAGGTATGTCAGCATTTTGGGGGTTGTCATCTATGTCATCTATCATAGGGGGGAAAATGCGTGAGGGAGTGTGATAAATAAATAATTGTGATTCGTGAAACAAATAGGTGATTACATCAAAATAAAACAAACGGATTGTAAAACTTAATTACACCCCCATGAAGAAATAAAACAGACCCTTACAAGGTCAAGGGGCCCTGAACCTCCCTACTATCCTAAGAATAAAATATGGTCTTTTTAGGCGCCTGTTCATCCAAGAATGCATGAATTATGACTGGTTGTAGAGATAATCATTTAGCTTTAGCTGTAAGAAAACCCATATATTAAATACTTAGCAAAAACCTGTAGAATGTATATGTATATGATATAATTAATATGCATGAAGTAGCTAAGATAAATACTAAATGTACCCTGTAGTAGGTGTGCAGATTTGGGGAACTGGTCCCCATTTCTGTCACCCAACTGGCTGCTTTGCTTTTACCATATAATAAACTCTTATTCAGAAACTTATAGAAACTCGAGACTTTGTTTATCACAGGAGACAAAGGAAAGACAGGATAAGGGTAAGGGAGAGTAAGGGAAAGAAAAGTGAGAGTGGAAGGATGTAAATAGTCACAACCCACGGGGTCCAGGGATGGAACTGGGTAGTTGCAGCTTCCATGTCTGTGAGTTGAAGTGGTGGCCTTGACCCGCTGGGGGTGAGGGAGGGAAGCCCCCACACTCCAAGAAGTTATGAGTTACTATATCCATGGTTGGTATGTTAGATTTTAGTTGAATGGCATTTAAAATTAGACCATTCAAGGAAAAAATAGGGTTGATTAATTTCTTCTTTTGATGGTTTCTTTTACCTCCATGGAGATTTTGTTGTGAATGATAGATTGGTTCCTTATATATAATGAAGAAAAAAGTGATGGAGCTGAACCATGGTTGGTGTCACGGGCCATGCCACGAGCCTCCAGCATCTCCTGGGTCTGTGCTGAGATCCCATGAGGGGTCTGGAAAAGGTTTTTTTTCCCGCCTTTCAAGATTATCAGAGAGGTGGAGATGGGCTTTGATGGGCCATCAGAGGGATAATGCACTTTGATGGACCATCGGAGGTCTAAGGCAAAAGTCGTGCAGAAGCCTGCAAAAGTCCCTCGGCAATCCTAGAATGCATAAATCATTAACCCTTTCAGCCTCTGACAGCAGGTAGTGGTGGGACAGGGAGCTGGAGCAGGGCAGGGTTGGGTTGGATGTGTTATAGGTAAATAAACCTAAATCAAAATTTAGCAGCAAAATTTATTGTGAGATTTATATAAAGTGCAGATAAGCAAATCAGGGCGCTGGGTGGCCTGAGGAGACCCCTGCTCCCCACTGGCCCACAAGCCCAATAAAAACAAACAGCAACTTTTATACTTTTCCAACTCCCCTCCCATAGTCACTTGTTAGCTCTTGATTGGGTTTGGGTTCGTGGGCTTCGTTCTGGTTGGTTCTGTTGTAGGCCCATTTCAATTACCAGGGACTTTTCCATCAATAGCTTTAATCAGCCCAATGTCCTTGGAGCTGAATATGGGAAGGTATCCAGATGATCCAGATGTTTCTCCTTGGCTCTTCTTTATCATCTCCATCCTTGACCCTCTGATCCTCGTTCTCTTCTTCTTTTCTAATGAGTAACTTAGACAATATTTTTAGAAAAGCAGGATATCGTATACGTGTTCAATAAAGCAGAATACTTTATCTTTGCCAACTTGGGAACTGCCATTTGCAGGACAGTCAATTTATAATAATAATACAGCAGTTAACTATTCCACAGCTTACAATTCCCTAGTCCCAACCAAGCATTAGTTATAATATACAGAAAATACAATATATATATTTTGACGAGTAAGTTTTCCTGTTGCTTACTTATTACAGATATTAGGAATAAATTCTTCCCTGTGTGGATGGTGATGCCCCAGAACAGGTCGCCCAGAGCAGCTGGAGAAAGGGCAGTGTGGCAGAAGGGATGGCTGGATTTTGGGGGAACTGGGGAGGGAAAAGGGATCATAAAAGGCAGGATGTTGGGAGAGAACTGAACAACTCCTGGCTCAAGAAGAGATCAGAGGTCTGTGAGATGCGTTGAATGCAGTGATTTCATCAAACTCGTGCGCGTTCTGTGTTTGGTTTTATTTTTTTATTTTTTTTATTTTTTTTTTTTACTTTCATTGCTTTATTTTAATTTTCTGTTTTTTCCTTTCTCCAGAATGCATAAATCATTAACCCTTTCAGTCTCTGACAGTGGTGGGACAGGGGGGATTGGCCTCGAGGTGGAGCAGGGGAGGGTTGGGTTGGGTATTAGGAATAAATTCTTCCCTGTGTGGATGGGGTTGGGTTGGATATTAGGAATAAATTCTTCCCTGTGTGGATGGGGTTGGGTTGGATATTAGGAATAAATTCTTCCCTGTGTGGATGGTGATGCCCCAGAACAGGTCGCCCAGGGAGGCTGGAGAAGGGGCAGCGTGGCAGAAGGGATGGCTGGATTTTGGGGGAATTGGGGAGGGAAAAGGGATCATAAAAGGCAGGATGTTGGGAGAGAACTGAACAACTCCTGGCTCAAGAAGAGATCAGAGGTCTGTGAGATGCGTTGAATGCGGTGATTTCATCAAACTCGTGCGCGTTCCGTGTTTGGTTTTCTTTTTTTATTTATTTATTTTTTTTACTTTCATTGCCTCATTTTCACTTTCTGTTCTTCCTTTCTCCTCCCCCTCGTTATGGGGAACAGAACACTTGATTTGAAGGGAGGAGTCGGGCTCCCAAGGACTGGCTGATCCGAGTTTGCTGCAGGGTGGGAAGGAACAGCCTTTTTTTTTTTTTCCTTTGCCTTTGTTCACTTAAAGGCTTAAGACTTGCAGGAGTTTTAATGGAAGGGAACTTAATGTCATATTATCTTGTTTTAAAGTTACTGCTTTTTTTAATTCAGTTTTCAGTATATTTGGTACTTTCTGTCTTCATGACCTGTCTTTTTGAGCATGTGTATATTTTTGTCAAGTATCTCTGGTCCCTCCTAATGGAAAGTTGTAGTGAAAGTAATACAACTAATATTTTTAAATGTTTATGGGGTAAGTAAATCATGTTTGCTGTTGAATTGGTGTATCTCCTTAAGTGTTTTAGCTGTAAGTCATCAGGATTTGCTTGTTACCTTTTATTTAGAAGTTTTTCACTTAATCTGAAAGTAGGATTTAGGTTGGGTGGTCTGTGGGAAGAGTTGTTTCTGTGGGAAATGTTTCTGAAATAATTTTAGTTGAATGGCATTTAAAATTAGACCATTCAAGGAAAAAATAGGGTTGATTAATTTCTTCTTTTGATGGTGAGATGGTTTCTTTTACCTCCATGAAGATTTTGTTGTGAATGATAGATTGGTTCCTTATATATAATGAAGAAAAAAGTGATAAATCTCCATGTCTAAATGGCTAAATGATGATATGCTGGAAGTGTTTTCTGGCTTGCAAAAGGATTATTGTTTTCCATCATTTAAATATCTCTATTATGAGGAATTTCTGGTGATTATTAGTGTAGCTTTGGAGTTTTCATGTGTCTGAACTGTTTTCAACAGGCACCTCTTGGAGAAACGGTTCACAGAATTAAGTCTGAACATGTTCAGTCTTTGTGAGCCTTGAGTTTTGTTCTGATTCATTGAAATTTTATGTCATTAAGTAGTTTATAATGAGCAATGACTACTGGCCCAAGGTATTTAAGTGTGCATCCATTTGATTTAACTTGAGGAATGGTTATGTGAGACATCCCTCTGGCTGGAGGGAGGTCCCTCAAATGGGTACATTTGTGCTTTTCCACGGTGTCCTCCAGGATTTTGTACCTAATAATATAAAATACTTCTCTGAGGATCATAAAATAAGCATTTTTTTAAGCATAGGCCGTGGCTAAAACTTCATGTGTAAAATTAATAATTCCTTTTTTCTCATTGGAGTTTCTGGTAGTTCAGCAGAAGCCTAATAATCAAGCAAGATTTAAGGGTTTAGAGAGCTGCACCTCATTTTTGGGTTCCAGGGCTTGAAAAGCTTCAATCCAGACTGCTGTCTGTGTGACTGTGTCCAATATGAGGAATATTTGTGAGTGTTTTCTCACTGCTGGGACTTAAAATTGTTTGAAAATGAAAAACTTTCTTGGCTCAATCACGGGGCACATTCAGTGCCTGATGTGGGGTTTTAATTCCGTGGGAAACAGTGGAGAGAGAGGATTTTGCAGTTGCTGGTGTGGCTTCCTGGGTGTGACCATCACAATAAAGAATTCAGGCCTGTTTTCTACCTTGTTGCTCAGGAACTGTTTGCTCAGTGACTGTTCACTGACAGCATCGAATCCCCGAAGCTGTGAAGTGTAAATTCGGTGTCAAGTGTTGGGTGTGAAGTTCCAGGGTTGGAAACGGAGCTGCCTCAACCCTTTCTTGTCTTTGGGATCCAGTATTTCCAAATATTTTTCCATTTATTTGCGTTTCTGAGACTGGCAGGGGTTGAACTTGACTTCAGCTCTGTGGTTTTAAACTCTTCCTGCAGAATTCCCCCAGTGGAACTTGAACTTCCAATAGGGATCTCTTATTCCCTGCAAAAATTCTGATTTCTGACTAATAAGGACTAATATCAACTCTAGTTCTGTAGAACAGGCTGATTTCTTTAGCTTGGAGTTTAATAATTAAAATATAATATTGTGGAATCAGATCATATCTTGCAGAACTTTAAGATATGTTTGTTTGAAGTATCTTTCCCTTCTATGAGATTAATAAAATCCTACACTATTTAACAAAAATATCAAATTCAATACTCAGGGGTGGCTTTTTGAAAAACTTGTTGGTTGTCTCAGTTTTCGATATTATAAATTTTTAACATCTGTTTATAAAGGAAAATGTGAGTTCCAAGTGCTTTTTTTTTAAATATATTTCAAGTGATGATCATCTTGTTTAAAATCCTTTTTTCTCATTACAGACCAAAGTCATCAAAACAAACGAAAGCAAAAACCCAAAGTTGGTGACTCTGAAAAAATGAGGTAAAAAAATACTGTTTATTTTGAAATGTATGATTACTTCGAGTTATTTTATGTAGCACTTAGAAAGGACTTAATGTCCCTTGGACTTGCTGGTTTTTTGTGGTTTTTTTACATGCTGGTAGCTGGGTGAAGTTCCCAAAATTCCTGTTTTCACAAAGAACCAGAGTTATAACTTGAAAATTAAATATTTTCCATAGCTGAGTTGAATTTTAGTCAATGACTAACTTCTACTTAGTCTTTAAGTTGTTTGCAGGCTTGAATTTTTCACTTAATTCAATAATTTCACTTAAATCAATATCTAATTTTAAGCACATTAAATACTCCTTGCAGGACATGCTGAATGTAAATGAGTGTGTTTGGTGGTTTAGGGCCAAAATTAAATTAGTTGAGATAAAAAACACTGTAGATTTTATGGGTAAAATTTATGCTTCCACCTGTTAAAAGATTTAAAACAGAAGTTTTAGCAAAAGAAATCCATATTTCCAGTGATACTGAGGCCAAGGGGGAGCTGTGACTGCACTTTCTTCTTTTCTGCTTCTCCAGCTGGAGGTTTTTGGTGGTGTTTAGGGTGGTTGTAAAACACTTGAGGGTAGAGCAGAACAAGATATTTACTTTGAAATAGGAAAATTTCCACGAAGTGACAATTTTTCCAAGGCAGATTTCACAGGTAGAAGAGTCCAAGCCTTTAGGAGAGGTTGGAGCTGAACCTGATTATTCCCAATTTTAATCTAAGTGTGACCACAAGTTCAGCTGCCTTTTAATCTGTGTTTATTACAGTACAATCCTGTTGTTTTCCCATTACTTTTGGAATGCCCCTTTAGCCAGGACAATGGAAACTTTGTCATTTATTTCACTGAACTGGATTTCTCCTTTCACTTGAAGGGGGGGGAAATGTTGTAATTTATTTTGGCACAAATCCTCCTTAAAGCAGCTGAACCATCTCCAGAATTGCTTCTCTCATGGGGAAGATGAGCAGACCTATAAAAATCACACTGTTGCTTGAAGATAAGTTTATATTTAAAGGATATTTGTACACTGTTGATGCCATTGTCCTGTTTTTCGTAGGGATCACCTTGATTTGAAGAGAGAGTCTAAAGCCGTGGAAGATAAAGGCCTCTGTGCTGTGCCACAGGTAACTGGAAATTCAGTGGGATATGGCCTTAAATGTGAATTATTTGGAGCCTTTTAGTAACACTGTGCAAAATCTTGGTTTGTTCCTAAATTTAACACTTTGTGCTGAGGATGACTTTGATCAGGAGGCAAAAATTCTGTGGTTACACTGATTTATTGCTGCCTTGTTCCTTCTCCTCCTGTAATTAGGGTAACAAGACTCAGTCTAGTCATAGACTGACTAAGCTAAAACCATGAATTTACAGCTCCCCTGTATCTTAATTTGTAAGAAAAAGGACAAATATTACTGGGAATCACTCAGGGGTTTATGATACCCCTCCCAAAGTTCTGACTGAACACGTTTTCTTGTGTTTGATAAATATGTTGGGAAATAATCATGGAACATTTTGTTGGGTGGCTGTTTGAAACACGGTGCAATTCATGTTTTGAGGGAGAATTTTCCTCCTCTGCCAAAATTCTTGGAAGGAAATCGTGGGAATGCACATAATTAATCATTTGATCTCTGTTAATTTTGGGGATGTAGACACCAAAAATCTCTACTCTGATTAATTACCTCACAAGACCAAACTCAATTCAGGAGAAGGTTCAAGTTCTACCTGCACTAAGACCCTTTATTACCTTCAAAATACCTATTTTTGTTTTGCCAGTGCATTACAAGTATCAAAAGGAGCATTTTAATTGGCTTAATTGTGTGGTGTAGCTCAACATCAAATTAATATAATTTATCCTGTTTTATGACTACATGCTCTTAACAGCATTAACTCAGTAGTTCTAGGAAATTAAAATAAGTGTTGATTATTTAATGTCCCTGCTGGAAATCCCTGCAGACTCCAGGAAGTGTCAATAGTGAAAATAAAATAACAAAATCACTCTGAAACCTTCTAGCAATGAACAAATTAACTGAGCTGGACAGAAAGTGTAGCAGAAGGAAACAGTTCTCAGGTTTTCCAAAGACACTTGTGCACAAAATGGGGCGTAAAAGTGAGGAAAAGCAGAAGTCTGGGTTGTGGTTTTGGGGTTTTTTTTAATGTGTGAGCAAAATTAAAACGGTGCTTGAACTAAACTTGAAGCTTTGTGGAGAGAAAAGGATCTAAATTTAGAAGAAAAACTTGGTTTTTTAATGGGATTGACAGCAGCAGGTCCATTGAAATCTAGAGATTTTAGAAGTAAAATTAAAAACTTTGTAAAAATGTAACTAATTTGCTGCTTTAACAGTGAAATTGTGGTAAAATGTAGAGAATTTCCAGTTGTCTTTTGGATAAGTATTTTAGCAAATTGCTTGCTTTGAAAAAAAGGAAAAAAAAGGGAAATGCTGTTTTCCTTTGGACTTACTGCCTTCCTAAATATTC